TCTCTCTCACACACACAAACACACACACACACACACACAAACACACACACACACATACACACACACACGCTTACAAACACACACACACGCACACACATGTACTCACACATGTACACACCCACACACACGTACCCCCCTCACACACACACACATCTCATAACATGTCTCCATTCCCGATGTGCCCACCCATCAAGAGTCTCTCCCCCCTACCTATATTTCACACCTCGGGTACTGAGCTGGGAAAACAATCTGTCTGGCTCGTCACGCAAACGACAAATCAGGCTCAGGACCACCAACATTTTTCTTTGTCTTTTTTCTGATTGAGAGCAACTCTCCATGAACCTAAGCCAGGGGTCACCAAATGTTTCTCAAAGCTTCTTTTAGTAGAGGTTTTACGCTGAATAAGACCATATGAGCGCCAAGGGGTGGATGTCAACAGAGAAGTCCTTATTCTGCTCACCTCTCTAGTTTCTCAAAGTGGCCTGGACATTGCTGAGCGTTGGCCAGAGGACTAATATTTTTCTTTTTGCAATACAAAACACTGGTGTTTTAAATGACATATGTGTCACAAAAGCTTTGCAAGAGTGTGACACATTACCTTGCCATTTAAGGACTATAAAAGCATGTTTAATTTGAACTGTAAGGTTCAATGAATTTTTTTGTGCCAAGTACTGAACATGCTACAAACACATCTTTCAAATATGGCAGCACGATGGTTGACCAGAAAAATTGACCTCGCGGGCCAGAAGCGGCCTGATGACGTTGAATGCGGCCCGCGGGCCTTAGTTCGATAACCCCTGGTCTAAGCTGTGTAAAATAAAATAGTTCCTTATGCACAGGGTATGTTTAGTTGCTGTATGCATTTCATAATATCATCTAATCGCGTCCGAGGGCACAGTCTGTATTATTTGGCGTGCCCTGCGGATGACCCAGTTTCGAATTCCCGTGGGGACGTTCAACAAGTTTGATAAAAATTTGGAGAATTATAAGACTCTTCACCCACTTTGCTAGATCATTTGGACAAGTTATGTCATATTCGGAGGTCTTTCTTTATAGTAACCAAGCAGTTGGTTTTTTTTTTTTTTCAGTATTGCTTTCACGTGACACAATTAAGATTTATATTATCATATCGAGTTTCTAAGAATTAACAACAATGTAGCTGCTCCAAGCGTGATAGTAAAGTATAATGTGAAAATGAAAGAGGGAGACTGATAGGCAGAGAAAGACTAGAGACGGGAAGAAGAAAAGAAAAGAGAAAAAGAGTGGTGTAGACAAACAAACAGACAAAGAAACAGAAACTAATAGATATAAAACTACAGATAGACAAACAGACAGACGAGCGGGCAGAAAAATGTGGGGGAGAAGGGGAGGGGATGAGGAGCTTGAGCGATAAGTTTTTCTTGGAATCGTATTAATACTATACAGTTCTCCAATTTCCTTGCCGCTCCGCACTTAACGCAAACATTTTGACTTGTGGTCCTGTACCCGCCGCGCAGCGCGCTCCACTGACCCAGACACAGTGTAAACCTTGAGGGTAAATCTGTGCGGTACTTGTGCGGTAAATGAGTAAATGAGTAAATTGAGACTCACCATTCTCACCGCGCCAGGTTTGATGGATCTGTTTTGTGGCTCGAACCGCGCGTAAAATGTCAGACAAATAGGACTTGTCACTTCACACCAGGGCAAAGAGAAATGAGGCAATATTTGCATTGAGACAGAAAATTACCCCTTGGCCCCAGTCACCAGTGTAAGTAGCTCGTTCGTATACGATGTTTTCGAGCGGTTGTAAAATTGAGATATTATTAACTTAAGAGTACACTTGATGTCGTTGTGTTATGTTAGGTTCAGCTGAGATTGGAGGCAACATTAACTATAATGATTTACGTCACGTGAGAGTACAGAAAAGTAATGGGGGGAAAGCCGTTTATATAGAACCTATAGACAATGAGAGCCTCAGTCATTTTTTGAAGTTTAGAGAAAATTAGTTGGGTTTTTTTTTTGTAATGATGATAAAATGAGAGCATCTAAATCAGGCTCATAACCTGCCTGGGCACACATTATAATATTGCAGTTAAAAAAACTAGGAAGGACACAACGAAATCGAAACAGCCTGAAAATATCAATATTGTAAAATTCTCTCGATGTCTGTTTTCGAATTACGGCTTTATCTGGAAACTTCCAGAAATCGGTTTGAGTGATTGGAATGACGCTGGCGAAATTTGGTTGTCTACCTTATTTTAAACATCGCCTAACGTAACAGTATTTCGTCACAAGAAAAAGAACTCATTACGTCAAGGAATGATTGATAAGCTACTTATGTTCTTGTTTTTTAAAGAAAGAAGATAAAAATCTCATTGCTATACCAATCTGATTGGTTGCTGCCGTGTGATGTACTGGTTCCTTTCCCATATTATTTGTAGATTTTTTTTTACTTCCCGATCATTCGATCGAGATTATTTTGATCATTTAGGAGGAGGGTATCTTAAATCCTGCCTGGCAGGGTCAACCTCTGATGAGAAAATCACAACTTCCCACTATATAACGATGTTTTAATGTTTTGGTTTAGAGTAAAAGAAAGAAACTGAGAAATAACAGAGGAAAAAAAGAAGAAGGACCTACCAGAGGCGCCCCCCCCCCTCCTCAACCAACCATTCACATGGGCGAGTAGAAACCACAAAAAGGTGAAAGATAATAACTGCACTTCTACGCAGTGGCGGCAAAAATAACTGCCAACGAACATGTTTGTTTGAACAAATTACGAAATACAAGCTGTGCTTAACTCGGTATCTCGCCTGTGGAGCCTTGAACTTTCTGCCATGAGCCAGAGACATTTCAATGTGCACAGAAAATGTGGCATTTCAGCCCGCTTGAAAGTGGCTCGGACGAAATCTTAGCCAATGTAAATTTATGCAAGGCAATTCAATTGTTGCCTTATGTTCCAAGGATTATGGGTAAGAGGAGATTTGCCTCTCTGGCATCTCATTGCATTTTATTTTATCAGGTGTTCTCTAAAACAAGTTACAAGAGTAGTCTGAGATTCTCTTCTTCTTTATACAGTTTATTCTTTTCTCAGC